GATCCAGGAATGGCTGGGTTGGCCCTCTGGCTAAATCAATTGAGGGAGATCCCTTTATTTCAAGTTAAATGATGATTTGAATAAGATGCCATTCAGGCCGGCAATAAGGGCCTGGTTTATTGTTTAGGTCCATATTTTATTTCAAACAAGACGCTCTGCGGAGCGTTAACTCGCTGGGGCTATACAAGTCATACAAATACGCACATTACTAAGCGGAAAAGTTGAATACGAGCGCAATTTTAAAGGCTTAACACAGTGCTAAAATGCGGTAGGCCCTACAAGTAAAGTTATATTTAGTACGCTACATAGCCGCCACTAGTTGGTCCGTACGCTAGGCTGCTCACTGCGCTTTAATAAAACGTTCAAAATAAACTAATTTGGGGGCTTTTGGGCTCAAAATACTGTCAAAATGAAGACAGAAGTAAGACGGATCCACTGTTATACGGCCGAAAAAGAGAAAACCAATGATACCAAAATTATCAACAATACAATTTCGCTTGGCTTTCAAAGACAGCCATAAATCGGTAGATTACTGTTGTTTAGCAATACATTTGACATCCGTATGAGCGATTTGTTAACAATACAATTTCGCTTGTCTTTCAAAGACAAAGATCATGTATAATCTTGCTTGAAATAATTGTCATAAGAAAGGAAAAAGGAATGATCCGAATAACTATCGACCAATATCAGTTATTTCAGCTGTAGCCAAAATCTTCGAAAAATTAATCTTTGAGCAACTTTATAATTACTTCAGTTCTAACAGCTTGTTAACGCATTGCCAGTCCGGTTTCAGGTCGTTAAATAGTACACTTACTGCTCTTCTTGAAGCCACTAGTAACTGGTCAGTTAATATTGACAATGGCCTCTTCAATGGAGTAATATTTATCGACCTTAAAAAAGCATTCGATACTATTGATCATCAGATATTACTGCGGAAGCTTCGAATTTACGGTATGGATCAATTAAGTCTCGAATGGTTTCAGTCTTATTTGACCGGTCGATCTCAGAAATGTAATGTTAGAGGTTGCTTGTCATCATCTGCATCAGTTACACGTGGTGTACCACAGGGAAGTAACTTAGGACCATTACTCTTCCTTGTGTATATTAACGACCTTCCTAATTGTCTCAGTGCAGCAGTACCGAGAATGTTTGCTGATGATACGAACATTAGTTATGCGGCCAACACTATCGCCGAACTAGAAAGTTATTAATTCGGAATTAAAAAAATTGAAAAGCTGGTTGGAAGCGAACATATTAAGCCTTAATATCGCCAAGACAGAATTTATGATAATAGGATCTCGACAACGTATGCATGCGCACACTAACGAAAATATCAATATTGACCTGGATGGTCATGTGATTAAACAAGTTGATGAGGCAAAATCACTAGGTGTAATGATTGATAAAAATCTGTCTTGGTCTAAACACATTGATATGAAGTGTAAAAAGATTTCTTCCGCTATAGGTGCTCTTAAGCGAATAAAACCATTTATATCAACTGAAACAGCAATCCAAATTTACAACGCAATAATTCAACCTCACTTTGATTACTGTAGTCCCATTTGGGACGAATTTGGCGCAACATTATGTGAAAAAATGCAAAAATTGCAGAATAGAGCTGCTAGAGTGATTACGAAATCCAACTACGATGTCAGCTCTAGCATTCTCTTAGAGAAACTGCATTGGGACAGTCTTTCCTTACGTAGGAAAAAGCACAAGTCTATATTAATGTTTAAAACTATCAATAAGCTAACGCCAGAGTATTTACAAAACATGTTTACATTTCGCAGCACAGATTATAACTTAAGAAATGCAGAAATGAAGCTAAATTTACCAAAACCACGTACGGACTTTATGAAGCGTAGTTTCTGCCACAGTGGAGCAAGTTTATGGAATGCGCTTCCTCAAACTGCACGTACGTCCAAATCATTGAGGCATTTCAAAAATGAAATTAATCAATTCTTGACATTATAATGGGATCCCCACATGGCAATCTTGGAAAACAGTGCATTTTAGTTAGGAAATTAGTGTGTATATAGTGATGTGTGAAATTTATTAATAGTTTTTGTATTTTATTCTACACTGAAGATTTTACCGTGTTTAAATAAATGTTCAATGTTCAATGTTCAATGTCATTTATCTGCATGCGCAGATCAAAATCCGCCTAAAAAATTCCGCCCGCGCGCAAAATTCCACTGACTGGAAACCAGCCTTTAGAAAAAGCTCGAAAATTCCTCAGATTTCCTTAAAATTCCTTAAATTGGTAAAATTACCACAAGGCCTGATCACACAGTTGCAAAAAGTGTTTTTCCTCTTTTTTTCTGATTTTCAGTTTTTAACCTTGTTTCTAAGCACTACAAATTTGAAAACATTTGACTGTTAGCATAATGCCATAAAGAAAACATTCAACATGATGTATTTTTAATCGTTGCTGCAGGAAGAGCTTGAAATCTGTAGGACTGTAGATTTCAGAAGAAACAGCATATACTGACATTTAACTTTTGATAATTTTAATGAAAATACCAGTGGCGACACTTTACGAAATATTGGGGGCCTCGTGCCGAAGGCACGGGAAAATTTTAAAATTTGAATCCCGGAAAGCCAAATTTGCAGCGTTCTGAGAACACATTTTGTAAAAAACTAGGGTTTCAAAACACTGTTTTAATGGTGCGTTTTGTTATAAATCTCATGCCAAGCCATGTACAGAAACATATACTATTATATTATGATGACAATTACGTTATATGAGTGTGATTTGTGTTATTTGGTACAAGATTTTAAAGATGCGGTACAGTCCGATCTGCACATGTGCACAAAGTTACAAACAGTTTATTTAGGATTTTATTTCGTTTTATGTTCTTGCAAAGCTTGATTGCTGTCTCTTCTTAATTTATTATACTCTAGAATCATGAAAATATAAATAGTTGTCGAATAAAATTCAATCTTTTGGATACCGAAATGTAAACAAAGCCTTTGTTTACATACGGACTGTACCGCATCTTTAACAGTCTTTCAAAATTATTGGGGTGGCTCAGGCCCCCCTATGCCCGCCACTGGAAAAGACAGCCATATGTACATTTATGACATAGAGAACATACGAATATATGTAATTATGTGCGTATAATGTTGCTACTTTCAAGTTTAAATCTCATTTGCGAAGCGTGTTTATCCCCCATCTCAGCCTAGTCCCAGGCTCTCTCTCTCTCTTTATTCCCTGCTTCGATATATTTAAATAAGTCTTAAAAGTTTTATGCCTGGGTGTGCTGTGCGGAACACCTAGATCCCAGTCTCGTACTACATCCACGTTTTTTCTCGCGCTTGCTTCGGAACGGCTGGGACTAGGCTGCCTCCATCCAACGTTTTTAGATAAAATGTTTCAGAAATTCCTTAAAAAGATCCTCAGAAACCTAAATTCCTTAAAACTTAAAAAATCCTTAAAACTCTTCAAAATTCCTATTTTTAAGGATAATTCCTTAAAAGTGAGAGCACTGACGTAGCCGGTCGGGGCGGGCAACAATTTTTCACTTATTGCCCGGGCGGGATATATACATTGCATTTATCTAAAGCCACGTGACTACAAATAAGCCAATCACGTTTGGTGTTCACACCAGCTATATAACAACACCATTTAGTTTGCTAATACTGTAATATTGTGTTTGTTTAGACACACGCCATGTTGAGTCTAGCTCCCTTTATCTAATTGTCACCTGCATATATATCTATGTCCATTACGTCATAACTACTTAATGTCAATCATCTACTTATAAATGTCACATCTCCCTTTTCTCAAAGGAGATTGTTTAACTAGTGTTTCTATTAATGTCTTTTTTAAAATGTCAATCATAAACAGTTTTCTAATGTTCTTAGTGTGCTATATAATGTCAACTATTAGATTTATTCTCTAAAAAGTTTCAATGTTGCTATTTTAGTATTTTCCTATTTTCCATTTAATTGGCTTGAAATCTTTCTGGTTTACGACTAGCACGACCGCTTCGAGTTGTGTACAATTGTGGTGTTTGTGGTGCTTGTCCAGGTTCTAACCCATTTTGCTGCCTACCCACGGCAATTGGTATTTGGTGTGGAGGTTGGTACTCGGTGATGTTATCATCATCTAGATCACAGTTCTCCAATCTGTTCATGCCAGTAGATTCATATAGATGTTTCCGGTTTCTTCGCAGTACGAAGCCATTAGATGTACGGATCATGTACGATCTGGGCTCTTTTCTCTTTTCAATCACTACTGCTGCTTTTAGTCCAGTGTTGGTCTCATACCGAACATTATCACCTGGTTGAAGGACTGAAAGCTCTTTAGT